AAAGAGAGAGATACAGATTCACTGTTCTCATTTACTCTGTCAAGAATAAAATTTATTAAAAGAGGAATATAAATACAAAAAAGAGAAATACTTTTTGAGGAATCACATTGTCCTTGGTCTTTTGAAATACTGTAAAACAGACTGGTATGTTCTATATCTAAAAAGTTATATAAAGTTAATTGTCAGGAAGTGTCATCAATTTATAATGAAAAAAAGAATAATAACAAATTAAAATATAAAATTCAAATGAATTTTCATAGAATTTAAAATAAAATAAAACAAAATGAATTTATATTTTATTTGATAATTTCAGTCTGATCTTGAGTTTATTCTGCACATTTCTCTGAGTGATCATTTAGGCTTTTAAAAAAGACAGTTCTAACAATATTTGATTAAAAAAACTAAAAACTTTTTTAAAATAATTGATGAGCTTTAAAACACTGCCACCGTCATTGAACCGAATTCAATCAACAATGAACTAAAGTAAAGAAAAGACACTGTTGTCTTCTGTAGAGCTGAAATTGAAGTCCTTTCACTGTTAATTATTGAACTTTTAGACTGTTATTTTCCTGTTTATTACTGTGAAGCTGCTTTTCAACAATCTGTATTGTACAAAGCACTATATAAATAAATGTGACAGACTTGACAGAAAAATATTATGACCAATTCAATAAATAAAACAGTGTTAATTAGTTCAAGCTACACAAACACAGACATCAAGTAAAGTGTAGATTATGAATATTAATATGAGGAATATCATAAACATTATGGTATTCCTCATATTAATAATGGCTAAAATGTTTGTTCAGCATGATTCAGGTTATTGTTTGATGCCGTATGTGAGATTTCCATATACCTCTCTCTATGACTGGAGACAACATCTCTATGGGTGGCTACATATCAGCAGGAGGGAATGAGATCTATGTCTGTGTCTTTGCCAAATCAAACTATCCATTCTGTCCACCCAAACATGGAGAGAGAACTGACATTCAATCATCATAGTGTTGACATTTGAAAAGCTTTTCTAAAATCTGTGTACATTTCTTTTGTATATATAGCATAAATAGATTTATTGTCTTCATTTTTTCTGTCTAACTGTCTTTGAGCTCCACTGATCAGTGTGAAAGTGTTTCAGGTGTTTATCAGTTTTAATAATCCATAAATGGAGCTGCAGGCTTTCGCTCAAATTTATGTTGTCATTCTGACATCGTCTATGCCTGATGTACGCCATTTGCCTGAACCGTCATTCCTGTGACTATTGACAACTGACCTTAATAACTAACTATCTTTTATTTGTCTCTACATCAGGGAGGAATGTCTGTAGACTGCATCTCTGATCTGGTTGAGAGTCAGTCCAGACTACTGGAAGCTCTGCAGCTTTCTCACCCTAATGAGCTGGAGATGAAAAAGGCTGCTGGTCGAACACAGGCCAAACTCAGTCTCAACCCCATCTACAGACAAGTTCCTCGAGTGGTTGAGCGCTGCTGTAACCACATCCAGACCTACGGTGAGCTGCAAAACCCCATTACAGCCCAGCATGTCCAGTCGTTAAGTTTAAATTGGCACAGGAAGTTGAATTGAAAATTGAGTTAGATTGGCAGGCAAAGAAATTGACTGAACTGCAGTTTGAAAGAGTAGGGAAATTTCAATAGGCTTTTTCATTTGATTATGTCTAGTACTTTTTCTCAATCTTTAACCGATTAAACATTTCTCTATATGAAGTTAAATTAACAAATGAATGTTAAAATTAACCCATACATCAAAACAATTTCATACAGCACTACAAATTATAGACCACATTGTAATAAGATAACTTTATATTATAATTTTAGCTCCATCCCAACAGGGAACAACTTTCAAGACTTTTGCGTTCCCCAGAGAAACTTTGCGTTCGCTCGCAAAACATTTGCATTCCCCTAAGAAACTTTTTTTGTGAGTAAATGCAAAGTTTCTCAGGAGAACGAAAACATATTGCGAGCGAGCGCAAAGTTTCTCAAGGTAAGGAAAACAGAAGATTTACGAGAGAACGCTAAAGCATTGACAATTTTTTCCACCGTTTTATATATTTTTTGCATCCTCATGTTCCTTTAGGGGCTGCATAAAGTTATGGCAAGGTTCTTTTTAAGTTATGTACAAATGTTCTTCCAGTAACATTAATAGAATGTTCGTTCAATGTTATTTGGTCGTTAATGATGTTCTTAAAATAGGATTTATGTATTAAATCCTTCATGGAACATTTTTTTTCTGAAGCATTTTAGTTGGACTTTTGTATAAGTTTTTTTTTTTTTTTTACTTGTTTGTTCCAAGAAAATTCAAAAGGAACATTTTCATAATTTCTGCAAAATTACAAAATGGAATGTTCTCATAACGTTCGGTAACAAAGATAAAATGCTTTAAATACATTTAAAAAAACTGGCGTTTTGAAAAACACGCCACCTTGAAAACATTCAGAATCAGATCACATTAGCAAAAAGTTTTTAGAATATTTTTTTAAAATTTTGAAAAAGTAAATTAATTTGTTGTGGAAAATAAAGTGATATTCCATCAATAAAGTTCATTAATTAAAAATAATACAATACACAAATTAAATACAAAGTTCAAACATTGTATTTTTAACATGTTCCTGGAAATAACCTGTATGTTTTGTGCATGCTCATAAAAGCATGTCTGTTTGTCTACTTTAATTTTTTTGAATTTCATTCCATTTTAATTCTACTTAATTAAAATTAGGATTTTGCCTTAATTTAAAATCAAGAATGATTGAATCTGATTTGAAGACCACTTTAAGTGGAATATTTGGGAGTAGAAACGCCATGTTAGAAATACTGAATGTAAACCTATTTTTTTTTTTACAGTCTATGATGTAAACCCAAGTACTTTTAGAGATTTTTGTTCTTTCCCTGAAACATAAGTGAACTAATTTGAGTACATCCGCAGGCTCATAACACACCCTTGGTTTAGGTTACAAATAGAAGGTCACCCAGATGAGACACCACTCAAAAACAGTTAAATAGATATCAAATCAGGAAGATGAAATATGAGCCCAGCACTTATTTACACACTCTCTTTCTCTCTCTCTCTCCCTCTCTCTCCCCAGGATTACAAACTTTAGGGATTTTCCGTGTAGGCAGCTCCAAAAAGAGAGTCCGTCAAGTAAGTTTGTTAGTTCCATCTGCTCTCTAGAGTCAGTTTACATCACTGCACCTTACACAACATTTATCTCTCGCATGTGGCATGCGCCCACTGTCTTTCATATCTAGAAACACACTGCTGTCAATATGATACTGACACTGTTTTATCTGTTTATGCAATGACAGTCTCCTTAACAGTGAATGTTTAAAATACTGATCATAGCATGTACAGTGTCTTGTTTTCATAGCTGACCTCAGACTGATTGTGATTTGTGTGTGTGTGTGTGTATATTATGCTGTGTTTATACAGGAACAGGATACATGGGATACTTGAGTCTTGTGTGTGGTGGCAGTTTGCTTGCTGATGTTTTATCCTTGTGTGTTTTCAGCTGCGCGAGGACTTTGACATTGGGATAGATGTCGTGTTAGACGAGGAACACAGCGTCCATGACGTGGCGGCATTACTGAAGGAGTTTCTGAGGGACATGCCTGACCCCCTGTTACCACGAGAACTCTACCAGGCCTTTCTGCACGCTAACCGTATGAGCATACTGTCAGAAAAACAGGCATTCACAAATTATTCAACATCTATTTGTATACGGGAATCAGCATACACAGTTTAATGGTGTAATTCCATAAATATCCATCACACTTCTCATTATTGTATTAGCTGTCATGACATACTGTACGCTCACCTTACGGGATGTTTTGTGCCTGTCCCACAGAGCTGAGAGGGGCAGATCAGTTGACATACCTGCAGCAGTTGTTGTACTTGTTGCCACCCTGTAATTGTGACACTCTGCTGAGGCTCCTGACCCTCCTTCATTTAGTACAGGAGAACGCAAAAAGCTCAACTGGACCCAACCAGCAGGAGGTATGGTATAGTTGTCATTTATGGTACAGATGAAGAAAATGTATTGTGTAATTGTTTTATTATGTAAAAACAAGGGATGTATGAACAAGTGTGGTATGAGTGGCAATGTCATAGCTGGACATGGTTTATAAATATTTAAACTAAATTTAGTTTTTCTGATAGCTATGTGCCTAAAGAGACCATTCCAATTCAAGGATTACATATATTATATGCATACTGTCTAATACATAGACACACACACAAACACATTGGGTTTCCATGTTTTAAAGGGACTTTCCATAAACATAGTTTTTTTTGACTGTATTCTATCCCCTACCCCTAAACCTACTCATCACAAAAAACTTTCAGCACTTTTACATTTTCAAATAAACATCACTTAGTATGATTTATAAGTTGGAAACCAAAAAATGTCCCCATGAGGATTTTGGATCCTGCCATCTGATTTTGCCATCTTTGTGGGGGTTATTATTTTTCTGCCATTCTTTTTGTTGTTATTATTATAGTTATTATTTTTATTATTAAAATAATTCCTTAATTTCCATTACATACTCAATGCATGTTGGTTCTAATTGTGGTTCGCTTTTCGCCGCATTAGTTTATAGTATTAGGGCTAGGGTTTGCATATTTGTGACATTAAAACAAAATTCATAAACTGGACTGGACACACATTCAAAAAGTCTCAAAAGTCTGATATATTCATGTCTTTGAGCCGAAGCTGGATATGAAGGGTATGCACTGCTGCCCCTTATATACATCCACTGACATATAGCTGAAAAATAAATAAATAAAATACATAAATCCCCTCAGCAGGATTGGAACCAAACCCCTTGTGTAAACCAACAAACTATTGTCATGTAACTGACAGTACCAGATTTAATAATGCCAGTACTCAATAAATGATATAACACTCCCACCAGACTGTCACTATTGGTCGAATCAAATTTTAGAAATCAAATCAAGGTTCTGACCTGTTTTTAAATTGGTGTTGTGATTAGATCTCAGGTAACAAGATGACAGCAGCAAACCTGGCGGTGATCTTTGGGCCCAATCTCCTCCAGAAAGAGAGAGGATCGGAGAGAGAGCTCAGCCCTCAAGCTCTGGGCATAGAGGACAGCACTGCCATCATCTCTGTCACCCTAATGCTCCTCCAGAACCACCAACACCTCTTCATGGTGAGAGAGAGAGAGATCAGTGGAGGTGTGGAATGATAAGAGAGAAAAGAGGGAATACTATTTGGTCACTCAAAACAAGAAAAATGTTGTTCTAAACTCACATGACTTGCTTTCTTCTGTGGAACACAAAGGGGAAAATGCAATGGAGACTGAAGCTTTAACATTTCAAAAGGCCACCAGAACTTCAGAATTTCTCCTATTGTGTTTCATGGAAGAAAGCCATATGTGCAAATGATAAAATAATTACATTTTTGGGTAAACAAATTAAGTTTCAGATGTTTTTTTCTGGGTGAACAGAACAATGGATAACATTGTAGGGCTAGATATGTTTTTGCATGCACAGAGCTTGAAAGATGACTTTGTTGAATTATTTCCTGCACAGGTGTCTGCTGAGCTGCAGCAGGAGGTGCTCATGAGCCTCATTCAGACGGACCCTGACGTCATTGACTATCTGCTGCGCAGGAAACTCAGGTCAGCTGAATGAAAATAGATCCAACAGAAGAATATGGGATTTTATTAGAGCAATAGTCGGGCTCCGGAAGTAAAAACTCATTTAATTAATTTTTAACAATAACCTTTAAAGGGATATTTCTCCCAAAAATGACAACGATTCCATAATTTACTCAACCTCAAGTTACTCAACCTCACCTCATCCTAGGTTTATGTCTTTCTTCTTTCAGCAAAACACAATCGGAGATATATTAAATAGATATCCTGGCTATTCTAAGCTTTATAATGGGAATAAATAGAGCTTTTGAAGCTCCTGAAAAGCGCATCCATCATAACAGTAATCTATACGGCTCCAGGGAGTTAATAAAAGTCTTCTGAAGTGAAGCGATGCGTTTTTGGAAGAAAAATACCCATATTTAATAACTTTTTGAACAATAATCACTGGCTTCCGTTCCGTCCGCAAGTTTAGTTCTGGAGAATAGAGCAAAACTAAACACCGGCCACGAATTAGCAATGTTATAAAATTAGTATTATTAGTAATGTTATAAAATAACATTTTATAAAGCGAAATGTCGGAAGAGCTTGAGTTTGTTGACCAGCCGAGAGGCGTCTCACCTAAGCTTACGCTACTCCCACATCCTACATCATGCGTCGGGTCAGAGGTCATTCTCCCGACGGAACTAGACTCGCGTACAACCGTTACCAGAAGCCAGTGATTATAGTTCACATCACAAACACATCACTTAACATCAGAAGGCCTTTATTAACCCCCTGGAGCTGTTTGGATTACTGTTATGATGCCTTATTGAAGCTTGGAAGAGATATGATAGTTTTAAATATAACTCTTATTGTGTTTGGCTGAAAGAAGAAAGTCATACAATGAGGGGGAGTAAAATATGGGATCATTTTAACTCTTTAAATCCTTACAAATCTACTGCAAGCTAACAAGTTTTTAATAGTACATGCTTTTGTTAAAGCCATCAATCCTATTATTTTTACCTTTGTGGAATTCCTGGTAAAATGATTCTGCAAATAAATTGCCTCCAATCAGAGAATCGCGACAAGCAAACTGCTACTAAACAACTTTTTAGCGCCCACCCACTGACGCACTGCGAATGATGTAATCTGCTTGTTAAATCATGACATATTTAATACTGTTTCTACGCCAAGTGAGAAAACAACAGCCTCAATAGCCATTTCGTACGTTTACACGCAGCCAATTTTCGGGTTAGGTCAGGTTCAAGTCACTATTCGGGTTTCTGAAACATTAGGAATAACCCGTTTACATGCGTGAGCAGAGAGACTTTCTCCTGTATACATGGAATTGCAATATCCCGAGGTAAACGGCGACGCACGGTTAGCTTCTAGACGTATGGACAACCTTAAGACGCAATATGCGTCATTTACGATTCTTCTTTCTGTATCCAAAGACAACAGCAGCACACGAATAATGAATAGTTCTGGGCAGAAAGCGATTGCCTTTGTTTTTGCGCTTTGATGCTGGTAACGTTACAGACCTCGCTCCAAAAGTATGCTGTGCTGTGTCTCGCCAACGCATTCTCATACTAGGGCGTCATAAGTTTAGGTCTGGGGTAGTGTAAGAGCCAACTGTAAGTCTCCTATGGTTTTATGGTCTCATTCATTATTTTTACTGCACTCAGATTGTAGGTGGTGGGCGTGTCTACCGGGGCTTGGGCGGAAGTGATGTGGTTCTTGCATGTATTTGTTTGCTACACCTGTGCACCTGAGCATGGGGGCTTGGACAGAGAGGGAGTGAGCCTGGGAGCGAACACTTTCTGTTGACCGCACTTTATGCACTCACACTGCACTTATGAAATGATAACTGGCTACCAGTTGTATTTTATGTGCAAGAAGCAATAAATGAGTGGATTGCTGTGTGAAACTGTTTCTGCGCGTCGCAGTGCATTCATTCTCCCAGTGTTTAGTCTCTCGCGGCTGCAAATAGAATTTTGCCTGGTCTACAGCCGCTACAGGTAGGTTTAGGGTTACACCACTAGGAGGCACCTTCTGGCTCATGTATATCTGTGTCTCATATTGACGCTAAAGGGTGTCATGTGCGTTGGATGTAGACGAAATGTCAGAAGCGTCAGTGTATGACGCCTTGGGATGAGAATGGGCTGGTCTTGCCTGGTCTTCCGGTATACTGCACGCGGATTATTGTATGCACCGAGAAGTTTCTCTACTCAAAAGACCAAGATTCCTTTGGAATAGCTGATACGCGTTTACATGACCAAAAATTTGGGTTAGAAAAGGGGTACCCCAGGTATAATATCCCAGTTTTTTAAATCCAGGATATGAGCATATTCGGGTTTTTTCCGGTGTTTACATGGCCGTTCGTGACCGGGTTAATTGCTAATATCCCGGTTTTGAACTGGTTATTGGCTGCATGTAAACGTAGTCATTGTTGTACTTGTACCCTAGTCTTTTTGTCAGATTTTCAAATACTTTTTTTGCTTCAAATCAAAGTTATTGATGTTGTGATTTTCCACATTGCTGGTTGGTTTGTTTTATCCCTTTACCTCTTTAATGAAAACTACTAGACTGCATTTTTTCCTCACTCTTAACACTGAGTCTAAAACATGTCTCCTTTGTGACCGCAGTAGTAGCAGCCTTACAATACAGACGGACTCTGGTGGACGGAGGGACACGCAGGCATCTCTAGACTCTGTGGGTCAGTCCAGTGATGACCTATCTTCCCTGGAGCCACTGTGTCCTCTTTATCCAGAGACATCTGCCATAGGAAGTCTGAGCAGTGAGGTCTTCCTTAATGTCCTTCATCTTAACACTAACAGGAAACGTGAGTAGTGCCAAGTTTTCTCAATGAGGCACTTGTTAGACTAGTAATATTTACTTCCTACTTTTGGGATTCTGTTTTCTCCCTCAATTGTAATTATGGAATTATTATCTACACTACCAGTCAAATGTTGGGATAAGTAGGGAGTCAGTAGAAACTGAACTGAATATAGATCAAGGAATGCATTCTTTGCTGAATTAAAGTATTCATTACTCTTAAACAAATCTTCCAAACATTTGAATGGTAGTGTGCTTTGCCTTGTGTAAATGAATGCAAGCAAATATTGTATGGATATTCTTTTATGCTTTGCATAACAGGCTCCTCTGAGGTTCCACCCAAGTCCATCGTTAAAATGAGGCAGTTTCATTCCCACCACAACCTGCTGAGTCTGACCCAGTCTTCCGCTAATGCCCAAGGTGATGAGCTCCAGGACCAGAGGCAAGGTGTTTCAAGACAGACCTGCTCAGAGGAGCGCCTTCATTTCAGTCTGGGGCGGCAGGACAGTGGCTCGCAACCACAGAGTCCTAGAGAGAGGGGCATCTGGGTTCGACAGAGCTCCAACGCCTCATCCACGACGTCAGACGACAGCAAGCCGCCAAGCAACTTCTGGGACTTTTTCACTGGCAAGGTGTCAGGCTCAGAGACTATAGTATGACCCATAGATGAACAGATGTAGTGTGGGTGTTGTGTGTGTGTGTGTGTGTGTGTGTGTGGGTGGACCGGTACAATTGTAGAGAGAGAACTGGCAGTAGATATTATCCATCTGTGGACACTATACTGTTTATATATAATCTTAACTAACCCCACTCTTCTAGAAAGAGAACATGTTAGATTATCAAAAGAATTATTATAAACCTGTCAGAACTGCATATATAGCATAGGCTGTAATTAACCTTTTATAAATAGAAAGCAGCTTTTATATACATGAATCCTCAACATGCACTCAGCAGAAACTGACATCTCGTATTATATTATACTTTCTGAAGTCCTTTTCTGATGTATTGGCAGCTGATTGAGGCTTGGTCTTCACTATTATTGAAGCTTTTACATATCAAGTTAAACACATGTCCTTTTTTAAAATAAAGTGTATATAGTACATTTGGTAGCTTTGAATTCTTTTGAGCTGTACCCTTAAATGTTGTACGTGTTGCTTTTCAGATACCTGTTGTCAGGAGAAGCCCTTCGCTGCAAAACTTCTTCAACGACCATTCACAGTCTCAGAAAAATTAGGTGGAGTGGAAGACTTTCTTTGAAGGATGGGATATTTTTGATAACTTTTTACCTTTTGGAGAACATACTCTGAACTCATGGCATCATTGAACCACAAGGGGGTGATACTGGTGTCAACATTACATTGACATTAAACTTGCATTTGACTAGATCTTGTCCAAATATCCTGTCTGAAATGATCTCTATTACTTGCTGGACTTACTGTTGTTTTGGATTAAAGGCAGGATTTCCACCAATAAGGGTGAAAGTGTTCGGAGTGAGCATTGCCATTTCTATAGCTGGCAAGTCTAATAAAAACTCCAAACTCTAAGGCAATCAACCTACCAAGCTTAAATGCAAGACTGACCAAGAAATACACATTAACATAGATGAAAGGGCAAATATTGAAGTATGAATTTAAGGTCTGACCTCAGAGGTGCCAATTTATGTGTGAAAAGATTCTTGAATTCATTCTCCTTCCCAACCATTCTTTCACAATTTGAGCATCTTGATTGTCATCCTGGGATATGGCCATGTGTCTCTCACATGGTTGTTTAAGAAATTAAAAGTGTTGCCAAACATTGCAGTTACTGGCAAGGAGCGGAAATCAAGTCTTGATGGTCAGTTTCCTTCTAAATTAGTTGGGATATACCATGGATAAATAAGAGATAAAACTCATATTCATCATTTTAAATTCGAACGTAGGCTAGTTAGTTGGGTTTATGTTTACAATAATGATTTCGTAATGGCGACAAGTCGAGTCGAAGGAATTTTTTTCTACAGCACTGAAGGTGTTGATTTGGATCAGGACTGAGTTTTATGTAAATGACACTGATACTTAGCGAGTTTTAAAAAGCGATTTCTACATTCTACATTTCTATGATTGCAGTCTTCATTTAATGTGTGTACAACATTAAAACGACTCTTAACACGAGCGTAATATATTTCTTAATCTATAAAACATTTTTAATTAGCATCAAAGAATGTACCTTTAAAATGCATTTCCACTAGATGTCAATCTCTAAGCAGGAGTATTAGAAAGAACTAGCTTCTTTAACTCTTACTCTAGCCCCGTTTCCCAGACTAAAATGCATGTTGAGCTGTTTTAACTGAAAGCAAGTGACATCCCAGATAGCACAAGTCTATTTGAGGTAATGTTTACATCTGGAAGAGTATTTTTAAGAGTGTTTGCTCATCTGCAATACGTCTGACATTTCCTGTCAGATGTCAAATAGACGTTTAGAAGACGTCTTTAAGATGTAATGATTTAGAATGCATGTTAAACTGACATCTAAACGTCTATTTGACATCAGACAGGAAACATCTTATAGACGTATTGCAGATGATCAAACACTCTTAAAAATACGTCTTCCAGATGTAAACATCACATCAAATAGACTTGTGCTATCTGGGATAGTCTTGTGATGCACATAGTCTAAGGCACTTAATATAGGTACGTAAATGTCCTATTTGGACTAAGGCTGTCTGTGAAACCAGGCTTAGATGTTTGCACAATATATCTTTTCCTTAGAGTGATTACATCATGATGGCACAATCTATGATTGCTTGAAGTCACATGGGTGTTGCCCAGTTTAATGACATCATAAAGAAACAGAGACCATATGAACCTCCTTGAGGTGGTTGATGTGTTTTTGTTTGTTTTTATTTGGGACAAGTTGATCCAGTCCCATCTTTCATCCACACTGTCCACTCCACTCCAAAACCAGATTATTCAGCTGGTTTACTTTTTTTTATACATTGCTTTATCGAAAGTGCACTTTTTTCAAACCCAGTATGGAATAAACATATACAATGTTATGGGAAGAGGCAGAATGAAACAACTAATGCTAGCATGATGTAGCATTAGATTGTGTTTTGTCTCATGTTTTAATGTAGTTGATGTCTGTCTGCTAATTTCAACGACTAGTAACAACTTCTCGAGCTTGCAGCATTAATTTGATAATTCCAACATTTTCACCCTTAAATTTTTGCTTCAACCATCTCTCCACATAACATACAACAGTCCTGGTGTCCAAATAAAGGACTAATTAGCAAATGTATAAAAATGGAAATGTCAAAGAAAATGTAATATAACATTTATAATTACACATAAATAAACTTATATGATATAAAAGAGCAAAAATAAAATAAACATTCCTTCCCCTGTAGCTACTAGATCACAAGCCAATTAAAAAAAAAAAAATCAAATATCCAGTTATCTCAGCTTAGAGAAGCCTTCATTCAAATGTGATGATGACATCTACAAACACTCTTACATACCCTGTTTGAGTGTGTGTTTTACATGAAATGACACCATATGTCAGTTTAATTCAACATATAGTTGTCTACTTAAAAGACGCAATGCCAGTAGGTTCTCTGACAAGCAAGAAGCTTAAACCTCTTTACAGACATTGTGATGTCTCGTTTAAAAGACCTTTTTACATGCTTTATAACAATGTTAAGAGTTGTTATACCATGCATGCATTGATACCAAGTAGACTTTACAGGATGAATGGAATAATAATCAGCAGCAGTGTCAGTTATGACCCCTCACAGATTAAAGCAGATTTGTCAAACCAACAATCAAATAAAACCAGTGTAGTTTACATAGGAAAACTGAAATGAAAAAAAAAAAAAAAAACACCTTTTCATTCTCATACCATCTACTTTAGCCACAATACAACAAGCTAGGCAATTGTGTGTTTGAAACTCTTTCAAGAAACCTGGAATATTTTACTGAGGTACCTCGCTTGTACATACTTTTCGCCTTACAAGATTTAGGCTCAAAAACCTAATCTGACTGGGTGTGCTTATTTTTGCCTATAAAGCTCGACTAATTGTCTTGTAAATATTTACTAGCTGTAAGCCGACTGGGAGAAGTAACTCATCCTCCAGGCTGAGCAACATCCACAAAAAGAAACAATCCTTAACCAATCTAACTATTACAGAGCCATGCAGTCTAGGTCACCACTTAAACCTCACATTCACAGGCAGACCTTCTTGCTCCACTTCCCTTCTAGGTCTATATTCAGTTAAAAATGTTATTAATTAAGAGGGCAGAGGAGACGACAGAGATCTAGAGAGGCGTTACTGAGATTAAACACAATAGATGCAGCCAATTCAATTGGCCTAATGAATCAGAAGACTTTATGATGGAGTGCAGAGTCATATTATGTTTGAATTATCCAACATTTCTACTGAAAGAGGCTAATCCACATTCATGTCAGACAATCTCACAGTGCCACAGTGGTAATGAAACGTGAGTGGAAACGTGTGCAGCTTTTGGTTTCAATAAGATAGGCATTTATGAGCTTCAACATATTCAGAATAATAAAAAGCCCTGATTTCTACCTCCATCTGTGAAACTCAACAGTTAGAGCACTATTAAGTGCGCACTATATGACATAATCAGGCTGTACACTCACTTCGCAGTGCACAAGAACTGGCAGAATGTTTTACATTCACTGAATACTGAAAGAGCATTCTTAAGCCAAGCTACATCCTTTATACACACACTTCTCTGGTATCCACAATCCTCCCTGCTTAACAGAGTAGAGCTCCCATCAATCCACAGGCCTGCATTACAATAAGCCCTACATGAAATCAATCCTGAAGTTCTTAAAAAACAAAAAAACACTAACCATTCATGCTAATTTAAGCCCTGTCAGGTTTTTTCATTCAGATTGAGCAGCTCTACTCCAATGACAACATGAGTTACTGGCTCTGCAAAACAACACATTTAGTACTAGCTGGTTGACATGGATGTAGCATGATGAACGTCATGTTAGACATTGCAGATAAACATCTGAGGGTGAAGAACGTTGTGCGGCTTTCTGGAGGCTATCACGATATTGTGCCAAAACAGACCATGACACATAACCCAGCGATGATGAATGTGATGTGCAGAGAAGTGAACCAGATTATCTTAAATTAAACTTGTTAATGTGTGTGGTGGAAAAACGAAAACAAAAAAGAAGGTTTGTACAGTGTCCATTCTCAGGCCATCAAGATGCTCTTTCACATGTTTATATGTGCGTTTTTGTGTGTGCCGAGCAACACCAAGCAGGCGAGTGAGACGACAGCGAACCAGACGGCGATTACTTCTGCCTGGTGATTACTGTGCTGTGTCCAGGTCACTCTGGCATCAACTGCTCCTGTCTGGGGCCCGATTGATGCTCCAGTGCAAAGCTCCACTGACAAGCCTGAATGAAAAGGGACTTGACTGAGAGGGGATGGAGCATAGGGCCAAGCTGTGTCAACAAAGCCCAAGCCCACGATCTGCCTCATCCGGTCTCTCACAAATCACATCCTTCCATTCCATCAGTCACTCCTGCTGGCTCAGTCTCTAGACTGATAGAAGAGTATATACCCTGACTCTGAGTTTTTGGAGATGTCTGATGTCAGACCATAGAATTCCTCAATCGCTTGGGCATCTATTTTCTGTGGGGACAAAAAAAAGAGGATAACTGGATACAAAGGAAAACATGTTTAATATGGTGTGCTAATTGCGGACTTAAAAAACTCGCTTGACGCATGAAAACAAACCTCATTGTTTCTCACAGAAGCGTAAATGAGCATTAGAAAAAACCTTTTGGGTCTTGCACGTGAAGCAACCGTTCATCATATAAAGTGATTGGGTGTCTTCAGACTGTAATTAACCATATATAACCATTCATATATGAATTAGGTTTACATACATTTTATAAACTTGGTGGGACAAATCCCACAGGTTTCTTTAAAGGAGAACTCCGGCGAACAATGAACCTTTAGTCTAATAACACATTTGTACCTAGTCAACCGTTGTCTGAGATTTGTTTACATGATAATCGAATGTAAAGAGTTTTATCTCTAAAAACTGTTTAGATTATAACGCTAGTATATGGGGGCATTGACTAAGTAAAAAGAAATCGCTAGTTAATACCACTAACAAGGCTCAAAATAGCCCCACACTAACACAGTAACATAATGAGGGTCCCTACATGCAAAACGAAGCATTGAGAACTTTGTAAGTATACAGACCGTTTAATAAGAACATATTTTATATTTTCATAAGACAGTCCACTTTGCGTATACAGGCAGTAGCCATCTTTGGAAAACAGTCTTGACAAGTCGAACCACGAACGTTTTGCGCCGGAGTTCTCCTTTAAAAACATCTTCAAAGAACAAAAGTTTTATTGATTTGGAGCAAAAGGAGTAAGGGATATTTCAAACAAAAATGGACATTCTGTCAATTTTTGTCAAATACATTTTTTTTTTTTGAAAAATAGTTTTTTGCCTATACACAATTCCAAAAATATCTTTTGTGTTTAACAGAGGAAAGAAAGCCATACAGGTTTGGGACGACATCCCTTTAAAGGTGAAGCATGTGATACCTGCCCAACTAATAACACAGAACATAACTGCAAAATCACATTAGGGTCGAAGAAAACTGAGATATTTGCCATCACTGGAAGTGGTGAAATGACAAAGATTCACCTTTAAGTGACTTCTGAAGCATCTGCATCACGTTTTAACTGAAAATGTCATATCTCTCATTACAGATGTGCAATTGGGAAGACATGGGATAATGGAAAAACAGACTCTGCTTCCATTTGACATCCAGAGACTTACAAGAGTGCTTGGTAATTCTAAAAAAATAATATGGTACAACAACCACTTCATGTTCTGAGAAGCACCTGAGAGTTTGTGTTCATAACATGCGAGTAAATATTTGTCTGGGTTACCGTGTAGCAGAGCGGATATCACATCTGTGTTTTAAAATCAAATTGATTTATACTATAAATGCGCATGCTGGTGGTGGAAAATCTGTCTCAATGTTGAGTCAAGGTACATTTTTAAGCCAGTGGTGTAGAACAAACCTAAACAATCATGTGTCACAAGGATGTAATGGAAAATATGGTATTGGCTCGGTTTCAACAAAAAACGCTCTTCATATTCCATATCAAGATTAGTAAAATGTTTTAAGCATCAAGTGAATCTTGCCAAATGAATGAAAGTCTTTGTCTCATTAAGAAAAGTGTTCCCATCATTCAGATAACTCCAAAGTATGTGGGTCAATGTGAGGAGGACAACTCCAGAGAAGCATAAACAGCAGCTGCACATCACCTGACAGGGAGGGTTAATAGATCTGCTACTGTGCAGCGATAGACATCCACATACCTCGGGCTGCAATCATACAATTTTCGCTAGACACGGCAATCTAAATGTGGAAATGAACACTGCAATGACAGTTGGAAGAAGAGACGGTTTGCTGAACTGAAACTGATTCTTCAAGGTCTTGGGTGTTTGTCTTTTTAGATACTTCTACTTTATTTGTTCTCTTCTTAAACAATGAAACAACAGGACTATTCTGGGGTAAATACAATTTAAGCTCTATCAAAAGTATTACTTCGGAAATTGATTTCACCTCTCAGAAAACAAAGTAGTATGTGCACATACATTTGAAGTCTATGGGGCAACTTTTTTTATTCAAAAAAAAATGCATGTATGTTTTTATTTTGAGCAAAAATAAGGAAAAGGTCTAAATTATTTTATCTGGATACGGACAGGATGTTACAAATTAGTTAACCCAGATTATTACATTATTAATTTAACTAGAGCAACAATTTTACACGACTTACCTCTACAATGTCATCATCAAACAGAAGCCAGAAGCCGTGACTCTTCACTATAGTGATATAATGACCTCGATTTGGCCCACTACAAAAAAAAGCAAACCAAAAAGATATGATTAACAGTGAATAAATTAAAATTTTAGCCTGTTAACTGTCAGTGTTAAGGTAGCAGACACTTGGTGTACTTTATTTATTGAAATTACATTACCATGGAAAAGATGCTTAAAAACATTTTAGTTCAATGCTTCAGTTTCTGTGATATCATCCTAAATTTGAAACACAACTTGGTTAGACATATTGCTTTGATTTTCTAGCAATTTTAGAATCCAAATTATTTTGTAAAACATATTTTCTGTATAAAACATTTTTAGTTCAGTACATTTGCTTTACAGTAAAACTCAAAAATGAAACTTCTGTCATTCTTCCAGTTCTTCCAAACCTGTAATTTATTTCTTTAAAACCAAATTAATTTCTTTTCATGAACAAAAAATGAGATATTTTGAAGAATATGGGTAATCAAATAGTTAATGGGCCCTATTGACTTCCATAGTATTTTTTTATTCTTCTACATTATGTGGAAGTCAACGGGGGCCATCGACTGTTTGGTTAAAATATCTTCTTTTGTGTGAATTTTCAATTTGTGTGTGAACTATGCCTTGAACTTTCACTTCTGCAATAATCTGCTGAGTCTCTTCTTTAAAAAGAGGCCAACAGTATGTCTGTATTTAAGCTTTCATAAGTCCATTCAAGTCCAGATCTATGCTCAAAAACGCAGGAGAGTTACTGGTTTAGTGAAAGACCAGAATTTTTTTAATTAGTAAGTGAGCCAAAGTCATGATGCAACAGAAGTAGCAACTTTTCATCCAAACAGATTATGGGTGGATGTTGGGCTTCTATCCATCGGTTGTTGATTGGACTGAATGCAAGCTTAAGCCCTATTCGCATGGGATTCGTATTATCTGGTGACCTGTAGTAATTTGTAATAATTGCGGAGTTTGTCTGTGATCTTAATCCCGTGCGAATCGGCCATGTCTGTAATTTGTAAAGTAAAAATTCCCCCGCAAATTACCTAGTATATTTCGCCGAACACCGAGGTCCTGTGATAATATTAGTCCCGTGCGAATCGACATCTCTGTGATTTGGCCGGATCGTATATCATTTATTCAAGGTTTTTGTTTCATCTGCGCCTTTTTATCCATCTTTCGCGGAGAATAGAGGCTGATTTGGAGTGTTTTGATATTAATTTGGGTGCGGGGTCATATCGCTAGTACAACTATACAATTTAATTTGCAGAAAGAAAAACCTATACCATCAGAAGAGCAAAAACAAAAAGAACGATTAGATGGAATGACATGTTTAGCAGGATATGGTAAGGACAATTCTTCTGTTTATTATACTGTATACAGCTAGACATAATAACGACAAGACATTTCAAAGCTATAGCCTAATGATATCATATCCAGGAGATAAGTCAGTAAATTCGAGTAAAATCACAGGCTTCGCTTATCCCGCGCGAATGCGCCACACGAAATTCAGACATGGGTGGGTAATTTCAAATTGACATGTGGTCCCCAGGTAATACTAATCCCGTGCGAATAGGGCTTAAGTTGAATGCAAGACTAGTTGTCAGCAGCTCTCCAATCAAACAGACTATGTTTACATAGACAGCAGTAATCTAATTATTGACCTTTTTCTGAATAAGACAATATTCTGATCAAGGTGTTTGTATGAGTTGCTTTTAGAATATTGCTTTCATGTTCCCAGTTTACAATGTTCCCAGTTCATGTTTCGATAATGCGACCAAAATAGGAATACTTCACGTCTTAATTCAATTTGTGTTAACTTTGAGTATGACTTGAGTCGGATTAAGAAATGAAGAGTTCAGATGCAAAAGCCTCTAAATGCCATTTGAAATTTTCTTCTTTATTGATGATTTTTATCAAACTTGTATATTTAAGTTCAGTAATTTCACTTAAATGGCAATGATAATTACCTATTAATTGTTATTTAAGTGAAATTACTGAACTTAAACATACAAGTTTGATAAAAATCATCATGAAAGAAGAAAATTTCAAATGGCATTTAGAGGCTTTTGCATCTGAACTCTTCAAATATCTGTTTACATGGTAGTTTCTTAATCAGAGTATTGTCTTAATCGGCTTAATGCCGGAATTGTTGTTCATGTAAATGTAGTTTGACTGGTTAAATTGACTGTGACATTCGAAACCTACCTCCCACAGTGCACCACTACAGCCACCAGGTCGTACAATCGTTCAGGGTTGGTCGCATCACCAGAAGTGTTAAAGAGCCTCAGCTCCAGAGGGAAGACTACACGATAGGAGAGCTTGGTGTAGCGATGAAGCTGGTCCATATACTTAAAGCGCTTTAAGTGCAGGGCAAGGATCATGGGTAATTTCTTCACCCGCATCCTGTAAGGAAAAGGAGAGACAGGATCAATTTTAACTTGAAATTCCGTTTCCCTTCTCAGACTGCCAATTTCCTGAGTAACTGTAATTGTTAAACACTTCAGGATTAAAATGCCCCTCTTTGTGCACAGAACCAGCACACTAATGGCCAGATTTACTAACAGCTTGTGCCACAGCAAACCCTCTTTTGGCATTAAAAAACAACTGTCAGGTCTTAATAAAGATACGCCGTCAAAAATCAGCACTGAAAAAAGGCGTTGACAGGGTTGTTATTATTGCGGCAGACCTTTTTGCAATGCATTTGTAGGAGTTTCCCTTTTAGATGCAACATTCCTGGGAGGAGAGTATTTAAATTAATCATGCAAGATGATTTACAAAGTTTGCGCTTGTCAATTATTCAACGCACAAAAGAGCCAATCTAAAATCAGACACTTATTTGTGCAGCTCTTGGTAGATTGCTTTTTGTCATTATGGAAATGATCCGACTGCATCCGTGTTCTTTAATTTGCTATTGGAGCTTTTTTTGGAATTGAGCTCTCACTCTAATTTGCCCTGTTTAGTAAATCTGGCCCTAATGCTGATAAAAGATGCATTCAAGGAGGAAGAAAATACTGAATAGACAGGGTTGGTCCAAAGCATCAGGCTTACATAGGTTGAAAGTGAATATCACAGCAAATGCATCTCATGCCATGCCATTCAATTGCAACTACAAACCTTTTCTGAGCCTCCTGTTTACTTCTGCATTGCTCACAGTAGTACTTGTATTCACTACATAAGGTCTCTGTGTTGCTGAAACCCCTGAAAACGCACAGACAACAAATTATTCTTCCACATTAATGAACACTTAACAAAGAACTTGCACCAACTGGTCCATGCCATTTGAGGTTTGTAGCTTTACCTAAGACAGTGTGTGATGGAGGTGTTCTGCTCCACATCCACTGAGAGGTCTAGGAAGTCTTCATCTTTACTGCTCACCTGAAGCATTAGAGAACAAGAGTGCCCATCATATAAAAATAAATGTACTTGTTCTAATTTGTACTCCTGTTGTCTTGCTGCAGTTGGATTTTCAGCACACACATACAGATTTCATTTCTCAACTGGGATGTGCAAGACTGCGTATTTTAAAGTCAGCAAGTTACTGGCTTGTCTGAATGACTAGTCAGTTGTGGAAGTCCGGGATAATTAGGCTGACTTGTTTCTAAGGGGGCTTTTCATAATACATCTTGTTCTCAAATACAACCAAACCCTGTCCCAAATGCCACCCCAGGCCCTTTTAGTGATCCACTGTGTAATAATACATCAAGTCTACACACTTTAATGATGTAATTTCACAAAGACTGGAAACCACATCCGTTGAATCAACAAATGAATTATCAAATGAAAAACTAGACCCCTTATAAGTCTACTAGATCTTAAGTTTAACAGAAATTGCGATATGGCTTGATGCGATTATAAAACTGCTTATTGAATTTATGCGCTGTGTGTTTCAGAGTGAAGTGTGGCACTGTGTCCCACTTCTTTTACATATGAGCAGCTCATGATCTGAAGTTTTTGGTCTCTCCGAGTAGCTCGGTTTGTAGTGAATGCTGTTCCACATGAACTCATCTCTGCACGTGCTCGGAGTTTGGGTCACATGTAACATGCATTTGGGAATGTTGTGAACGTTGGGGGTCAAAAAAAAACGGATGTGTAACATTAGATCCATGCATTGGGTGCTAATATAATAAAACTGTTGCTGGCTGTGTCATTAATGTTAATTAAACAATAAAAGAAAAGTGGGAATCTTTCTTCTACGTCTCTTCTACGTATTCAACAATCGAAACATTTAACAGACTTCTGTTTTTTCCCGAAACACACTGTTTAAAACTGTTCTCCCGTCACATCCATACAATCTCCCAGATTCTGATTAGTCAAAGCCAAAGAGCCAATATCATGGTCACAATAACTCACTTTAGGGTGTTACTCCACCTCCTCTGACTCACCGCTTCACAGTTCAGGCACCGTGTCTCATTGGTCAGTGTGCCTTGGAAGATCTCGTGCACCCAGGTCTGCTGGATCTTTTCCTCCGCGTCACCCTCTCCTGTGCTGCTACCGCTTCCACCTCCTCCACTTCCACTCCCACCATTCTGTACTACCTTTCCATTCTGCTGCCTCTCCTGGCTCTTCTCCTCCTGAAGCAGGTCTGCAATGGTGTTGAGCAAGTAGTTGAGGAATTCATGTGCATCTTGCTGCATGTAGTTGTCAAACAGCTCTTTAGGGAGAGTAGAAGGAAGTGTTGATAACATTAAGTAGCTGCAAGTCTAACTTATAAACAGTGATTCAATCATTTAATAGCCGTTCATTTCAATACATACACAGTCTTTCCTGCATAGCTAATCAGGCGTATATCTTAAAGGGTTAGTTCACCCAAAAATGAAAATTCTGTCAGTATTTACTCACCCTCATGTTGTTCCAACCCCGTAAGACCTTCGTTCATCTTCGGAACACAAATTAAGATATTTAAGATATTAAGATCGCTCCTGCATACTAGTCCATAGGCTTCTTGAGGGAATGACACTTGCTGGCATCGAAAAATCATCAAAGACATCGTTCAAATAGTCCAAGTGACTACAGTGGCTCAATTTTAACTTCATCAAACGACGAGAACACTTTTTGTGCGCAAAAACACACAAAAATAACAACTTTATTTCAACTATTCACTTCCTTCTCTATGAGCCTCTAGTCAGTTAAAGTAGTGTGATTGCGTAGAGCTACGTCACACGTAGGCTCACTATTGGCCGACGCTGGTCATGTGTGTGATGCGTGTGACGTACAATAACAGAAGCTTACGCTATTAAACTAGTAACCTGACTCGAGGCAGAGGGAGAAATAAACGAATAGTTGAAATAAAGTCGTTATTTTTGTTGCTTTTGCGCACAAATAGTGTTCTCGTCATTTGATAAACTTAAGATTGAGCCCCTGTAGTCACTTGGACTATTTTAACAATGTCCTTTAATGACTTTTCGAGGCCAGCAAGTGTCATTCCCTCAAGAAGCCTATGGACTAGTATACAGGAGTGATCTTAATATCTTAAATATCTTAATTTGTGTTCCGAAGATGAACGAAGTTCTTACGGGGGTTGGAACAACATGAGGGTGAGTAAATACTGACAGAATTTTCATTTTTGGGTGAACTAACCCATTAATCTTTCTTTCTTCGTTAATCTTAATCGTTCTTTCTTTTTTTTTATCTTACTGACCCCGCGGTTGTTTATCTAGACAATGTCTTGGATCTTGGAATCTATGTCTAGATTGTCTACATTCAAAACGTTAACAAACATATTATCTGTATAGCAATTTCCTTTCACAGATCTCCGGCGTCAAAATAACATTAACCACTATAACAGTCAGTCAAATCCCGTACTGTAGGACGCATGATCTTTTCTCACCATTTTCCTTCCTCAGTCTGGAGACGAACTTCTTTGGTGGAATGACTCCCACTTTCTTCTTTTGAGTTGCAATGCTGTTGAACAGGTCAGCCAGGCAGGTGAGCAGGTTCTCTTTGCGCCGCGGTTGGATCTTATAGGCCAGCACTTTCTCCCGGAAGGGCCGGCAGAAGTACAGTGCCTGCAGCACTGAGTTACAGTAGCAGGTGTTGCCAAACTGAGTGACCAGATTGTGATTGGACAAAGAGCAAATCAAAGAGTGATGAAGGACCATGTAATGACATACATGCACATATAATTATTACATCTCCAATTACTGTCTCTGAGAATGAATGCAAACCAGTGCTGGAACTAAATTTGAGCTGAATTGAAAAAACATTGAACTACACTGAGCTTAATAATGACACTTATCTTATGCAGAACTGCTTTACAACTTAAATTGAATTTGTTTCACAACTGATCAATTTTGCAACATTACCAATTACTTTCCTGTTTGTTTGTTTGTTTGTTTAAAAAAAAAACAATCCATAAATGAATGTGATTTGAGTTGGATATGTGGAGCGGATTTATTATTTTATTTTGCTGCCTTTAATACACGCTTGCCAAATCTGCCATTAAGGAATTACACAAAGTCAAACACATCCAAAGTGCTTCACAATGTAAAAGTAATATGGCAAAGTAATTTTCTATTTATAGCACACACACTGACAAAGACAACCCTGTAAACTTACATTTACCAGTCCAAAGTAGTGTTCATTAACAGGGAACTGTTCCGGTCCAATCTCCTTTTCCAAAGCAGAGGCATTGGCGCCCTACCGAGAAAAGCCACAATGGTTATCTTGGCAATTTACTCATGGGGTCTCAATAATAAAAGTGACCAGGAACACCCTGCACCTATTCGGGACTAACAGGAACATCCTGTTTGTGGAGTGTGATGTAGGCTTGGCCTGAACAGGAAGCACTTTCTGGGCAAGTGAACCCACTCTGTGTCACCAGGGGAGATCATCAAGACAGAGCTGTAAGTGCTGTCAGTATCTAAGGTGTAATGTATTAGTTTCTCAGATGTTATAAGGCCTAGATCAGTGTTTTTTGTTCAACTAGTTATCCGAAGACCCTCTTCCCTCCGTATAGATATTTCTGCTGTAATGAAGTTAAGCTTTTTGTTATGAAATTCCTTTATTTCATTTTTAGCATTTTAGTTTGAGGATTTAGATTGTTTTTGATATTATTAATCATTTATTAATTTAAAATACTTTTGAATCATTCTTTTAAGTATGCTGTTTCTGGTAGGACCTGATTCATCACGACTTGGGTAATCTTTATGAAAAGGCAACTACATATGTCTGTCAGTGTCAACCCAAGAATGGATGACTTTGATCCGAAACCAAATACATTCAAATGTAGTGAACACTAAAATTATGTACTGCGGTTTTTACATAACTCGTACATAGCTAATGTTACTGGCACCCAGAGGTGGCTAAGCTAAATCAACAAGCAGCAAAGCCATGTGTCTTATCGCTATAACTGATTATCAGTAACTGCTGGAAAATAAGAAAGTTGCCACATAAATATCTGCTATTTAAAGCAGTTATTGGTTTATATGGACTAATCTGTTTTTATATCAGAATCCCCAATAGATAGCATCCCACATTAATAACATTTTTGTGTATAGCACAGCAAATCCTAAATTTTAATATTCATTGTAAGTTACTGTCTGTACACACTCACTTTCTCGTGTAACAGTTTAAGAAAAACCTTTCAGCACTACTACAAAGATATTAAGTAAATTGAATCAGCTTTCAGTTGTGTCCTTCAAATAATGTTACAACACAACAACAACAACAACAGCAGCAGCAGCAGCAGGAACTAGTCTCATGAATGACCTTAACGTTACCTCTTTACAAAACGCTTGTATAACGTTACATACAGAAAGCGTCCTCATGAATGATATTATCTGATGGTAAATAAAGTTGAGTCGCCCGTCTAATCAAACATGGACATTATGTGTAGCTCGCTAATACGCTAGGCTAACTTACATATAAAACCCTTGAGCAGAATATCAAATTATCGGCCAAAAAATGCTTAAAAGTCCGTTTAAATACATCACCAAACGTGTACTGCGTCCATAACCACAGAAAGAGAGGTGTGCAAACTTTTTGTGACTGTGCTGCCATGACACGGTTGTTTATCTGTTAGCTGTTGAGCTAGCCCTGTTAACTTAGCAGGCTAATCCAAACACAGGTTAGACGCAGTGGACGGGACAACACTCACTTATGCGAGGGAAAACTCACCATCGTACAAATCGAGGCGATCTTTCGGACTGTCATCAGTATTTCCATCCGTATGCCGCCATATTGGACCGAACCCCTATTTAAAAGTGTGACAGCCGCACAGGCTGAAGTTCCGGTGGATCCTTCAGTCGGTCCAGCAGCTCGTAGCGGAATGAGGGAGTGTCGCCTACCGCGCGCAGTGGAGCAGCTGCGCACTACACAACATTAAACATACTGTGGCGACGACCTCTGTTCACATTAACTTTATTAAAAAACTAAACACTGGGAAATGGTGCGTATTCAGAAAATTAAACAACAATCTCACGCGGAAAAAGAAAGAATAGCTTTTACAAAGCACATGGTGAAGAAAAAAGGGTATGCAAATAACAAAAACGTCAATTAGGCGTTAAAATATATATTTTTAATTACATATTTTAGACTGTATAATATTTAATTTATGCTAATAATAGCCTACTGTGAATGTCTTACTTAGGCTAGGCTATATTTTGCATTTGTGGATATAAAGAAAAGTAACTTAGGTAAAATTACAAAATTAAAACACATGTTAATTCGTCATGATTTTTTCCATGCCTGTTAAATCTTGCGAACAATAGCCAAATGAAATATAGGCCTATATATCGACTTGTGAAAACGAAAATTGTGGGACATTAACATCACTAGGGTTGATAGGTAAAATTTATTAGATCTATCTTTTTCTTTTGTAAAACAAACATTTTTGTTTTTAAATAAAGTATTTCAACAAGATGTATATATATATATATATATATATATATATATATATATATATATATATTCCAATTCATGCTTTTGAATATAGAATAAGTTCGGGACAGGCTATAATTTTATATTTTAACCTAAGAAAAGCATAGTGAACCGATTCAATAGAAACGCAAACTAGTAAGGAATAGCCACGCGTTGTATTCTTTTGATGATTTCACACACTATGGTGAAGGCTTAATTATATGTTAATTAATATTCATATATTAGCCTATTTTTCTAAGTAATGCTGACGTTGCTTAGTAATCTTCCTGTGGTGTAACCTCATCATGACCTTGACCTTGACCATGCAACTCTTGTTCATAGTAGATTCTATGCATCCGCCCTTCTCCTCTGGTTTGTCAACTGATCCTCTAACCGCAGTCATTACCGTGGCAACACGAGCACTGAGTCAGTCAATCACCTCTGATACATTGTTTCTTCAAAGTTTAAACATTATATGGCCTGTCTGTCAATGCTCTCAGAGGTTTTTGTCTTTGCATAACTCATTGTGTCAAGAAACATCAATATGGGCCGCAATCCTCACAGGTGTGTGAGTATTGAGAGATACTGAGTTAAAGCTTGCAGTTGCAAAACTTGGTGCTTGCAGGGATTGTAGCCTAGAATGTGAAACTGCAGGGTTTACAGGATTGGTCATTTTGAGGTGCTTTACCTTCAGCGGGAATATAGTGTTGCTATGCGGTTGCCACGATGTTCTGAGTGATTAGTGCGTTGCTATGCAGTTGCTGGGGTATTCTTGGTGGTTTTTATGTGTTGTTGCTGGAGTGTTCTGGGTGTATTGATCTTGTTGAGTTAAACCGGGCTCAGACTACAGGAGTTTTAAAACCTTACCGATTGTGAACTCATGTTGCATCATGCAAAGCCGGGGACACACTTAACAACAATAAGGCCCATTATGAATGTAATTTGATAGGCTAACTTACTTATGTCTGATCAGGAGAATCATTAAACATTTTTTTCTCTCGAATCTCAAACATGCACACTACAAGATTTGAAATTTGTAGCGATCACACACTACAAGATTGCACCTTGTGACTCACAGGGAAGCAGGTTACTTACTTTGTGTTTGTAACACTTAGCAAGTGTTACATCTCCATGGTAAGTTTTTCAGTGTCACAAGACTGTTTTGTTATCACATGCTGTATTCTGCCATACCGTAACCAACCTCACTTGATAAAAAATTGTTTTTCACTTGTTCACAAAATTCACTTGTTTCAAAGAAAGGAATTTCTGGAACACCCAACAGTGGAGAGTAACGAAATAGCCTACTTAATTACTGTACAGTCAGGTCCGGCTCCAGCTTTTGAGATGTAAGGTGGGCCAAGTGAAATTCCTGATGGGCCAAGACTTTAAACATTATTCCACATAACAAAACTTTATTTTATAACAAAAGAGGCAGGTCTTGAAAGGGACTATATATTTTCTATATTTACAGGGCTTAATTAATTAAGGGCCGTTTACAGATTCATTCCAGGTTAGGTTTTTACTTACCCTGCAAAAATGTTCACTGGATCCACCACACACACAAAAAAAGAGTTTTATTACTGTTAGTATTTTAATATATATAAAGTCAAATAAACCTTCAGTTATAAAATATGAACAACTGAACAAATTACAAGCAATAGCACAAATAAATACAATCAAGGACTGAGGGGCCTGGGGGTCCCTGGGCTTGAGTTTATGTTGGGACCCTGCCTACACTACAAATAACCTCAACTAGAATATCATTGTGTAGCACAAAATACACAAAAATGTGCTTTGAGGTTCCTAGAACAATTGTTATGCTATAGTCAAGTTTAGAGGTAATAATAAAATACAGGATGTGCTCTCTCAGTTGAGAGAAGATAAAAACCCTGAAATAACACTGAACAATAAAGCCAGAGATGAACAGTTTTTTAATGTATATGTCATATCTGTGTCCTCTTATGTCAGATTGTTACAATAAATGCAATAGAAAATGTGTGTTTGCTGCTCCTGGAGCTGCCTAGATTGTTCAGAGCTCTCACTCAGATTCTGTTCTGGCAACTGTAAACTACAGCTCAGACTCTGGTCTGCAGTTGGTGTGTTTGGAGTCAATAGATCGAAAGACTTTCAGCAGATTTTGACGACAAAATTGAAATATTGAATTGCAGCATAATGCCGCTGATTAGCAGTTTACTTAGACAACTATTTGAGTGTTTTGCTCACTTCATGCGCAGAGAGGGGACACCTCAGAGAGAGCACAGCAGTGTGCAGCGCAAGAATTAGCGGCAGCAGAGAAACTTCCAGAGGAGTGTGAGGCCTTCGACTTCATTGCCAATGACAGGAAGTGCAGGAGGAGACCCCGCAAGGTAGTCCACAGTCCGGATAAGTTAATGGAGGGGGGAAGTGAGCTTAGGGAAGCTAGAGAAAAGAAAAGGAAGAAGAGAAAACGTGAGGAACGGAAGATCACAGAGCCAATGCCACTTCTTGTGAAGGTCAAACCTCTGTCTACTACAGTCAGAGGTTCCTTCCTAAAGCCAATAGAGGGAGAACCACCAATGGTTACAAGCGTCTCCGGACACCTCGCTCTACCAGCCGCTCGCTTCAAACCCCTGCCGCCAGTGGCGAAACCTCCGGTGCATTCTCAGAAGCCAGCTCCAGCACCTGAGGATGTGTTATCCCTGCCATGTTCTCCACTTCAAGTAGATCCTCCCAAACTGTTAGCGGTTCCTCCATGTCCTGTCCTATTTCCCTCCGATACTCTTCATCCCAACTGCGTCATCCCAAACGACTTGAAGCACACAATGAAGTTGCTGCTCTGAGACGTCCTCCAAGCCAGAAGCCTTAGCTGTTTACTTCCCCGTTTGAGCCACAGGAACAACTGGTGGACACAGAGTACACAGGGAGGACCATCCAGGCCAGTACTTTACTCAAGTCTGAACGCCCCCGAAACCCGGAGGCTGAAATGAAACCGAGAAAGATGGTTGCCTGGTTGGAGTAGGACAATGAGGTGCAGGAAGAAGCGCGGTTGAGCGAAGGGGTGGAGGTCCAGGGCCCCACTTCTACACACAATGAAGTCGTTGCTCTGCGACATTCTCCCAGCCGAAAGCCTCAGCCGTTCACTTCTTCCTTGTTTGAGTCACCTTCACAACTCAGCCTGGTTGACATAGAGGATGAGGAGAGCGAGTATGTTGAGTACACAGGGAAGACCATCCGGGCCACTGACTTACTCAAGTCTAAACGCCCCAAATGGTAGAGGCTAAAATGAAACCGAGAAAGATGTTTGCCTGGTTGGAGATGGACAGCGAGGTGCAGGAGGAGGCATGGGCGGATGAAATGGAGGAGGTCCAGGAATTTAAGGAAGAGCAAGGTGACCCCAGTGAAATGGGAGGATATAAAAGGCCATTCAGATGATGACTCTCAGATCGATGACCTCACGATAAAGCTTGTATATAAATCCTCTACTGACGTCCCTGAGAATGAGACCCAGCACAATGTGAACGTCCAGAAAAAGTGCAAAAGAAAAGTGCCATTTGTTCCTGGGTGGAGGAGAAGGTCAAGAAAAGGAAGGAGAAAGAAATACTCAAGGAGAGAGCGCGAAGAGAAAAACAGTTGCTGCTTGAACGCTACATGAACGATCCGAAACTGAAGCATTTGTGGATCAACAAGCACAACCGCAACTGAAACTCCTCCTAATGCAGATCATCGTCCCTCTTCACCTTTAACCTGTGTAAATAAAAAAGTGTGCAAACTAAAAGTTGAAAGATCCATGACTCTTCCTGACAATTAAGACAAGCGTAATATGAAGTGAATCAATTTGAACTAATTTGAATAACTGTTTAGAACAGCTGCAGCAGGAAGTGAATTATTCAATGCAATTTATAACAGTGGAGTTCACATCATTATTTCTATGATGGAAAACGTTTAATGTTTCTCTTGTCTGCTGTCGGCAACAATACATGTCTCATTCAGAGCCAAAGACTGCTCACTTCATGTGGTCATTTAAATACATGTGAAAATAAATATATTTAATTTGTCTAAAAAAAATGTGTTAATGAGACAAGTAAAACTACAAGGATGAAAAGCAAAGGAGGTGGCATCCTTCTTTCAACCAATTCCATCAAAATAGCCAAACATTCGCATTTATTATAAGGAGCCATATGCAAGATTGTGGCCAAAACTGGTACTGCAATCACTTTCAAATGACTGTAGAGTGGTGTATCCCCAGGGTGGCGCATCAGAACAAAAGACAACATGACAACATTAACATCAGTTGAGGGCTGCAACTTCACTTTTTAAATGACAATATCCTGGCCGGACTACTGTTGTCAGTGATATGAGTATTTGAAATGAACATGATTTCTTAATGTCTAGTGACATATCAGGGAAAATTTATGATTAATTCAAATACATTCTTTGCATACAGCTCCTTTAACTTA